GGTTTTTGTGTTATGTTAATCAAACAAACAAGCAAACAATATTTTTATATATATAGATGAGGTATGCAGTCCAAAATCACCTGATGACGGACAGATTACCCATTCCCACTATTGCTAATGCTGTACTCTGTGATAATGTTTCTCATTAATATCCTGTTTGTTTAGAATAGATCAGAAGCTGCAGTAAGTCTTCCACATTTATTGGGTTTAAAGGCACAGGACTCCCACAAAAAACTGAATTGTTGTTTTTCTTACCTCTGAAGATACCTCTCTATCAAGCTCTAGGTCCCCCAGCATGACTTCTGCTGGAAGTTATCCATAAAATCATACTGAAGGACCTGGAGAAAACGTATTAAATCCAATCCACCAATAATCCAATTTGCAAATGTCAACTTTACAAATATGGAGGGCCAATTATATTTGCATGATAATTATTTATTTATCTTCTCTCCAAGGGGACTCAGAATTGATTACAGTATATAAACAGACACAGGCAAATATTCAGTGCCTTGTTACAATGACATGCAATGAGACACAAACACACAGACAAACGCAAAGGCTTCTCCTTTCATTTCCGGCTTTGGAGGCAGTGCTCATCTCCAACTCTGGGAGAGGCGCTCTTTCTCCATTTGCAAGTCGGGGAGCTTGTGTCCATAGACTCCTCCTGTTCATGTGGCCGGCATGACTACTTGGAGTGTCTTTTTGCGTATTGATCTACTTTGCATGTTTGCAAACACCTAGTTTCGCAGGAGCTAGGGCTAACAGCGGGAGCTCATCCCATCCCACAGATTTGAAATGCCAACCTTCAGGTCAGCAGCACAGGGGTTTATTTGAACAGTTAGATTGTTGGTCAAAGAAGAATAGCCACTGGCCCTTTTTAGATAATGATAACATGATAGATCCCCATACTGCCTTCTGTTATTGGTCTCTTACCTCTTCAGAAGGGATAGGTGAAAAAACAAATGAAGAAGATTATTGAGACACATTGTAAAGGATGTAGCTTGAAGTCTGGCTACTGGAATTTATTTCCAGTATAATAAGTTGCAGCCCTCAGCAAGTTGGCATGCTCCTTTTATTTCCAGCCAATGCCGTTAATGTGGAAAGTGGCAGCTTAGGGAAAGCCAATGTGGAATTCATGGAAGAGAAGGGAGGTAATGCAACACGGAACATAGCAAATCATGACTGTTAAGCTTTGTATTCAGTTATCACTCTCTTTTTATCTGTTGTTGGTGTTGCTGTTATATCCCATCACATCAACTTTGACTCATGGCAATCTGATGAATGAGATATTTCCAGGAACCTTGGTCATCAATAACCCAGCTCAGTTCTTGTAAATACAAAGCCATGTCTTCCTTCATTGTGTCAATCCCTCTGTAATGCAGCCTTCCTCTTTTCTTACTGGCTTTGTTTATGGGGTTTTCATATGCACCATAAAATCTCTGAGTCCATAAATCTCATGATCCAGATATAATCATTCACATTTGGGGGGGGGGGGGATCTGATTATTTGCCTTGACTTGCTGTCTTGGCCCAGTAGCTCTATTGTCCTGAAAGCTCCCTTTCCAAACCAGCCTTTCCCCTCCTACTCCATCCAACATTCATCTGTCACAATGGCTTCTGAAGGAACTTCTCAGTGGAATATGGAAATTAATAACATACGCGTTTCTTGATTTTGGGCCATTGCTCAAATTATGTTTTTATTAACTGCTTTTCCACCTCAAAGCAGATTATTTGGACTTCCACTCCCATTACTCTGCGTTACTGAGCTAACGGGAGTTGCAATCCAAAAATTTGGAGGGTACCAACTTAGAGAAGGATGTTGCATGGAAGTAATTCTATGTAACATCCTCTGCTCTCATGCCCAAACCTAGTGGGTTTGCCCTCTTTATATTTATATTCTATCTCTTCCCTGGTGGGCTTGACTGCATACATATCTGTAACAATGTAATAATTGTTCATTTTTTAAAACGATAATAAAGAGCACATGAAATGTATAGATCAGGGGTCCTCAAACTAAGGCCCAAGGGCCGGATACGGCCCTCCGAGGTCATTTACCCAGCCCTCGCTCAGGGTCAACCTAAGTCTGAAATGACTTGAAAGCACGCAACCAGGGGCGGCTCAACCCATTATGAAAAGTAAGCATTTGTAGTATTGTTGATTTTGCCCAGGGGCGTTCTTGAGGCGGTCTTGGGGGAAAATAGACCTTGGCATATGCGAGTTGTACTTACTGGGATGTATAGTTCACCTGCAATCAAAGAGCATTCTGAACTCCACCAATGACCAATGTGGCACACAGAACTCCCATGACGAACAGAAAATATATATCAGTGATTGGTTGGGGGGGGGGGGGGGCAAAATACTGTTTGTTTACCATTGAAAATTACCTAGGGCTGCCTCTGCACACAACAACAACAACAATCCTATCTCATCAGCCAAAAGCAGGCCCACACTTCCCATTGAAATACTAATAAGTTTATATTTGTTATAATTGTTCTTCATTTTAATTATTGTATTGTTTTAAAGTGTTTTTTTGCACTACAAATAAGATATGTGCAGTGTGTATAGGAATTCATTCATGCTTTTTCCAAAATATAATCCAACCCTCCAACAGTTTGAGGGACTGTGACCTGGCCCTCTGTTGAAAAAGTTCGAGGACCCCTGGTGTAGATAAATCATGTCTTCAGATCCTCCGTAAATATATCTAAAATCGTGTTGTTTGATAACAAGCCACAGAATAAGAATTTTACTACTACTGCTGGGGTAGTAGTATGAGCCACTATCCTTTTCCTCTCAGCTATAGTAACAGAACAATCTGCTCTTGGTCCCACCTCCTTCACAGGTGTGGTTGGTGGGGAAGAGAGACAGGGCCTTCTCAGTGGTGCCTCTTTGGCTGAGGAACTCTCACCCCAGGGATATAAGATCAGAAAAAAATGTGAAAACATGATCAAGTCTTTGGCAACTAATACAGTGCAATAGATCGATTTGGATTTATGTGTAACGATTACTGAAATGGCCTGACCTTGATTGTGGATAATGTGATTTTATAGCTGTAAGTGGCAATGTCTATATTTTAATTGCTTTTAATCTTGTTTAGATTTTTAGCTGAACATTTATGTATTTGTTGAATTGTTTTAAGGCATTGAATTATTGCCTCTGCTGTAAGCTGCCTTGAGTCCCCTTTGGGGTCGAGAAAGGCGGGATATAAATATAGCAAATAAATAAATAAATAAATAAATAAATAAATAAATAAATAAATAAATAAAACAACTGACGTTTAAAGTTCTGTTCTACCAAAAATGTAGAGCAGATTTTCACCAATTGTTCCTCATTTGGACAGAATAAAATTGAGGTCCCTTGCCTGCCTGGTAGAATTCCAGTTGAGAAAAATAAAGACGTAATTTCCCAGTTTCTGTAGATTGCCTGGCTGCAAGCTATTGAATATGTGGTCCTCTATATTTTGTTATCCCATTACCACTCACCAGATAATGGGAATCAAAGTTCAACAAAACGTGGCCATGGTAGTCCACACCTTAGTCACATCCATGGGTAGATTGCCAACTAGAGCACCGTATCGTGATGACTTCCATGCTGCAGCAGTTTTACTGGTTTCCAGTCTGCTTCCAGGCTAAATACAAAGTGCTGGTCGTTACCTATAAAGCCCTAAATGGTTCAGGTCCCGGCTATTTGTCTAATTGCATCTCCCTATACAGACCATCCCGTGCACTACGGTTAGCAGAGGAGGCCCTCCTCTTGGTCCCACCCCGTCACAAGCTCGGTTGGTGAGAACGAGAGAAGGGGCCTTCTCCGTGATTACTTCCCATCTCTGGAAATAAAAATGCCCCGCACCCTCCTCTCCTTAAAGAAACTTTTGAAAACACACTTATGCACTTTAGCTTATGGAAAGGAGGAGGATTAGGAGATTTTAACCCATTGGAACGCTAGCTAACCCAATTGCATTTTATGGCTGCTACAATACATTTTAAATGAAATGGTGTTAGCCATTTTAAAGACATTTTAATGTAATTGCATTATAATTGCTTTTAGGGTATAGGTTGTAATGTTTTACTCATGTTTTAGTTTACTATGTCTTATTGGATTGTTTTTTATTATTTTCATCTCAGTGCTTAATTCTCTGTTGTAAGTTTACTGTTGTTTCTGTGCATTATCTTGTATTATTTTGGTGTGCTTGTATTCATTTGAGGTATTGAATGTTTGCCTTTTGTTTTGTGTCTGTAAATCACCCTGAGTCCCTTTTGGGCAATAAATAATATAGTTATTATTATTGACACAAAAGGACAGTATGACACAGCAAACGAGATCTATATGCTGGATTTTGTATCACAAAATCGCAAGTCGAACACTTCCCAAGTGTCTAGGACTGTGTGATGTATTTTCGAATGATGCGCACAGATCCAAGTAAGGTGGCCTTTTGCAATTGACAGATCGTGATTTTGTTGATGTTTGTTGTTGTTGTTATTACAAGATCTGGAGAACCACATGTCCCTCACCATTTGAACAGAGAAGGTTTTTTATTATCCAAGAGCCCTTCCACACAGCCATATACCTCAGGATCTCAAGGCTGAAAATCCCACAATATCTGCTTTGAACTGGGTTTTCTGAGTCCACACTGCCATATATCCCAGTTCAAAGCAGAAAATGTGGGATTTTATTCAGCTGTGTGGAAGGGGCCTAAGTAACAATAGCATCATCCTAAAAGACAGGGTTTTTTCCGGGGCACATTTCCAGATATTGGAGAGCATGGCAAAATTTTATTGCCTTATTGAACTATTTCCCAGAGTTCCAAAGAACCTATATCCATTTACATTCTGAGGAATCCAACTCTAATCTAATATTGTATAGCAGTTTTTCACTTGGGACGTTCTTGTGCACAGAATACAATCTTTGAGCTTGACAATCCCTCTTCTTGAAAGAAAACATATATCTGTTTGTTCTAAGAGCCATGTATCACATTATTTTTCTCTCCCCCATTTCTTTGTACAGATTATTTACGGCAAACAATTTTGACGTCATTAGTGGTGATGCTTTCATAGGCCTTCCTCATCTAGAATATTTGTAAGTTGATTTTTTTACAATCCAGGATTTATGGGAAGGGCTTTATTGTCAGATATATAGACATTTGACCAAGCTGCATTTATGACCTATTAACAGGTTTATAGAGAACAACAACATCAAGTCACTTTCAAACACGTCTTTCCGAGGACTGAAGTCGTTGATTCACCTGTAAGTAAAAGCACCAGGAATCATCTTTTCTTCTAGCCATGTTTGCAAACGGTACAATCCTCTACATGTTACTCAAAAGTAAGTCCCATTGAATTCAATTTGATTTCCTGATGGGTAAGTGTATACAGGATTGCAACCTCATTGATATATTTTGATTGTTGTTAACCAATAAAAAACCTTTTAGCTGATTACCTGTCTAGCCATTAATTGATTGATTCCACTTTTTAGACAAGCATTTTTTTTAAAGTATCCTAGTTGTGTTTGAAGAATAACACCAATATAAACAGCCCGGATCCGAGGAAGCATAAAGCAAGTTTTGTATTTCCACCAAAAACAATTTAGCTGGGGTTTTCTCAAGTATACCTTCCTAAAAAAGTTTTTTTAAAAAATCACAATAGCCTAAGTGTTTGCCATGAAGAGGAAAAACTTGAAATAATTGCATTGGATATTCCCAAGCCTTTTAGCACACCTAAAGTAATGCTTTAATTTTCAGATGACTAAATATCATTGTAAAATGTTCTGCATAATGTATTTTAGATCGGTGAATTAGAGTAACCATCTTTTCATACATCAAATTGGTTGCAGCTTAGATAAGTGAATAATACACAATTAGGCCACTCACCAATAATGATGATGATGATGATGATGATGATGTAATAATACTGTAATAATACTGTAATAATACTGTAATAATAATAATAATAATAATAATAATAATAATAATAATAATAATAAATAAAGACTGTGGCACAAGCCAGTCAAAGTGGTCCCAGTGGTGATTGGCACACTGGGTGCAGTGCCTAAAGACCTTGGCTTGCACTTAAACACAATAGGCACTGAAAAATTGCAATCTGCCAGCTGCAGAAGGCCACCTTACTGGGATCTGCATACATTATTCTCCGATACATCACACAGTCCTAGATACTTGGGAAGTGTCCGACGTGTGATCCAATACAACAGCCAGCAGAGTGATCTTGTCTGCTGTGGACTCATCTTGTGTTTCTAATAATAATAATAATAATAATAATAATAATAATAATAATAATAATAATAATAACAACAACAACAACAACAACTTTATTCTTGTATCCCATGGCACAAATTGCCAAAAATAGAACGTAAAAATAAAACACAATATAAAATACAATTGAATAAAACAAATAGGCATAAAAACAAACAACTTAAGACTCAAAGTAAAACAGTGTTCCTCAAGCAGTGGCAGTAAGCTACTTTAAACGTGACCAGACTGTAAACAATAGGATAAGGGAATAGGATAAGTGGAGGGCTGTAATATGGGAAAGAGGGCATAGGATAAAGTGCAAGGCTGCATAACTATTGAGTAAAACAACTAGGGACTGGGTGTTCTCAAAAGCTTGTATGAACATCCAGGTCTTCAGGTCCCTATGGGAGGAGAACAGTGTAGGGGCCTGCCTAATCTCCCTGGGGAGGGCATTCCAAAGCTGGGGGGCCATCACCGAGAAGGCCCTCTCCCTCATCTCCACCAACTGCACTTGTGACAGTGGTGGGACGGCAAGGAAGGCCTCCCTGGTAGATCTTAACGCTCACACAGGTTCATAAGGGGGATGCGGTCATGAAGATAGACCTATTTGCTCCACACTATTTCTTTTCTGCCATAAGTATAGCTCCCAGAACCTGGCAACTTTCCGGGAAGGCTTAGGATGGGGCAGAGGTTATCTGGTGCCAGTAGATTGCAGGCCCATAGAAAAGGAGCTGCTGAACAGAGGGACTGAGGCTCCTTCCACACAACCAAATAAAATCCCACGTTATCTGCTTTGAACTGGAACATATGGCATAAGTATCTCTGCCCAACCAAAAGTATCTCTGCCCAATCTGAAGTATCTTTGCCCAACCAATTCACAGAATTACTTTTAAAAATATTGAGGTAAAGCTGCTTTCTGAACATGTGGATGTGCCAAACTGTGTCCAAAAAGGAAAGCATGGGAAATTTTTGCTGACATAGTTGAACACCTTGTTTATTTTGGATTTTTTCACAGTATAGTATATAGATGATGTGTGGTATTAATTGTGTAGAACAATTTAATTTTGGTGCAAAATCAATACAGTGAAAGACATGCATTTTTTTTAAACCAAGGAATAACGTGTAACACATATGGTTAAGAAAAGGATAGAAAGGTTTTTTTGAATGAGTGGGAAGTGGATACTGGCCTGTTCCACATCCTCTCATTTCCTACAATCATGTTATCTGAAAAAAGCAAGGGAATAATAAACACGATGATATTTGGGGGTGAGGGAGGACTACAATTTCCATTTGGAATGTTGGTTCGCGGGTTCTGGTAATTGTAGTCTTTAAAAAAATAACTTTTAGAAGCTCCAGAAATCCTTTAAAAGACAAAAATGGGAAGTCTGTGATGTAAGAAAAGTATTCTGAAAAATAATTTTATAAATTTATGCAGGTTATTTGCTATCAAAGTATTTTTAATTTTCTCCAGTTGACTAGAAACAAAATAATGGTCTGTCAGTACTAAAGATGTTTTGTTTTCCTCCAGGAGTCTTGCAAACAATAATCTCCAAACGCTCCCCAAAGATATATTCAAAGGATTGGATTCATTAACGAACGTGTGAGAAAACTATTTAATATTTTCATTATGGTTTGAAGGACCAGATATAATTGCTCAGTAGTAATGCATATATCAGGGAAGGGTGACACACAGTCCATGGGCTACCCAGTTATACTAGAACACAAAATAAAGTCCAGTGAGAACTATCTAAACAAGAAAGCGATTGTCGGTTCTCACTGGATTGCATTTTTCATGTTTGTTTATGGAGATGCATGTTGGAAATACAGTAGCAACCTTCTCAAGCCTCCACTAGTTGTTTTTTTATGTATATAATTTATTACTGTATTGTATGTGTGCTGTTGTAATTTCAACCAGAGAAATCTGCCATAGCAGAGCACCTGATGAACCAACCTGGACACAGCATTTTATTTGAGAACATAGAAATGCTGGACCACTCTCACAACCACCATGTCAGACTACACAGAGAAGCCATTGAAATACACAAGCATGTGGACAATTTCAACAGAAAGGAGGAAACCAGTATTTAAAAACTCTAAAATTACAACAGCACAACAACAGAGAGGAAACAAACAAGGACATCTAATCACCTCTCAACAAAATTTTGCTCTAGGCACTGTCAGGCCATTATATTCTAATCAAGGTGGTCAGTTGAAACATTCACACCTAGCTACAGCAGACAAGAGTCCTTTGTCTCACCCTGGTCATTCCACAGATATATAAACCCTTTTTCCTAGTTCCAACAGACCTCACTACCTCTGAGGATGCTTGCCACAGATGCAGGCAAAACGTCAGGAGAGAATGCCTCTAGACCATTGCCATATAGCCCGAAAAAACCTACAACAACCCAGTAATTCCGGCCATGAAAGCCTTCGACAATACATTTTATGAATCCCATTTCCCAAATGGTTATAGAGATTCACTTTTTCCAAAAATGCACGATGACAATATTTGAAAATATTATGTGTAAAGTATGAGTTTGCCTGAATACTGAGATCCTCAGAACCGGCCCTTCTTTCACAGATATGATTAATGGAAATAGATGATAGGACCTTCTAGACTTGGCACCCTCTTCCTTGAGAAGCCAGAATAGTCCCCTCCTTGCTGTCATTATGTTAGAATCATATACTTTTGAAGCTGTAGAACTGATTCCTTTTTAAAAAAGAAGATGATGTGTCATTTTAAAATGTACTCTTTTAATTTCTTTTTATATCTTTAGTTGTTGGCTTTACGTTGTTCAAACATTGTCCAGAGTCCCTATTCATATTCTATTTCAATGTGATATTTTGTACACATTTTAATCATTTAAATTTGTAACCCATCCCCAGTCCCGATCTTGGTCGGGGATATAAATAAAGTTAATGATGATAATACGTACTTCTGCCAGTTTTGGTGTTCCTCCATCCTCCCTTTAGTTTCTCAGTTCCATTTTTGTTGGCAAGGAAGAACTGAGGTCAATGTTAACAAGTGTACTGGTGTCAAAATATCGAAAACACAGCCAAGTTATTTTGGCACTGGAGGGAGAAAATCCTTCAAGCACCTCTTCTTTTTTGGCAGTGGAGACACAATGGCAACAAATGAAATAACTAATTATGTCATGATACAGCATCTACATCCTGGGTTGCCTTCTTCACTCTGTTTAATGATTGGGCCTACCCCACTTTCAGATTGCCATTCATTCAGTCCAGAAAATGGCAATCTACATGTCAATAGGGGTAACGGTGGTGCAGCGAGTTAAACCGCTGAGCTGCTGAACTTGCTGACTAAAAGGTCAGCAGTTTGAATCTGCGTGATGGGGTAAGCTCCCATTGTTAACCCCAGCTTCTGCCAACCTAGCAATTCGAAAGCATGCAAATGTGAGTAAATATGTACTTCTCTGGCGGGAAGGTAACGGTGCCCCATGCGGTCATGCTGGCCACATGACCTAGGGGGCATCTATGGACAATGCTGGCTCTTTGGCTTAGAAATGGAGATGTGCCCCACCCCCCGGAATTGGACTCAACAACTTAAGGTCAAGGTGAAACCTTTACTTTTACTTTACATGTCAAAAGAACTTGTACTTCACTAACACCCTTTCTCCTCTCCCTCCAGGGATCTTAGGGGCAATGCATTCAAATGTGATTGCAAACTGAAGTGGCTGGTTGCATGGGTGAGCAGAACAAATGCCACAATAGAAGATATATATTGCGAAAGTCCACCAGAATATAAGAAACGCAAGATCAATACCATTTCTCCCAGTGAATTTGATTGCATTATTACAGGTAAATCTTTCCAATATTTTCTGTAAAAAGTACAGTTATTCAAACACATTTGATTTATAGCACTAACATTAATGATGTATCTCTTGTAAAAGAAATCATGTTCAGAGCATGCAATATTTTTGTCTATATATTTTGAATGATTGGAATTTAAATAACATCTTCTGCAGAAGTAGCTATAATACTAGTGGCCAACATTTTTGTTTCCTGATAAAGACTTTGAACTTTGGGCTTTATGAAGCATATCACTTGGAGCAAGCTGCAATTTCAGAAAATATTATAGAGTCCTCTAGTTTTATTTTTAAGGACAACATTGCAAGCATGTATTTATTTCCTTGTATCATTTAGAGCAGAGCTTCTTCAACTTTTTCTACTTGTGACTTCTTTCCACCTGTGAAAGTTTTAGGTGACTCTAGGTATATAAAATATAAACGAAATGTTTATTGATAATAAATCAGCATCTGCAAGCCTTGCTAAACAGACTGATTTTTCTTTTTGTGGAGTACAGCTGGAACATTTTCTGCAGAGTCCACTATAAACACTGCATGTTGTTGTTAACAAATTTGTATAAGTGGATGGCAATCAGCAACCTTTTACTGTTGCCAAACAATTTGTGTCCCCTTTTAGAATTGGGCCCTATAGTTTAAGAACCAATGGTTTGGAGCAGGGGTCCTTAAACTAAGGCCCAGGGGCTGAATACGGCCCTCCAAGGTCATTTATCTAGCCCTCGCTCAGGGTCAACCTAAGTCTGAAACAACTTGAAAACACACAACAACAACAACAACAATGCTATCTCATCAGCCAAAAGCTGGCGCACACTTCCCACTGAAATACTAATAAGCTTATATTTGTTAAAATTATTCATTTTAATTCTTGTATTGTTTTTAGTTGTTCTTTGCACTACAAATAAGGTATGTGCAGTGTGCATAGGAATTCATTCATTTTTTTTTCAAATTATAATCTGACCCTTCAACAGTTTGAAAGACTTTGACCTGGCCCTCTGTTTAAAAAGTTTGAGGACCCCTGGTTTAAAGTGTATGTTGCTTGATCTCTATTATATGACATTTACCAGTTAAGAGATGTAAATAATATCTACAGTTTTTTCCTAATCTTGGAGAGAAAGTTTTTTAATGCATTTTGATACACTGTAAAAATTGCACATTGATTGGAATCCCTTTTAGGGTTTGTGTTAATCCTGTCCCAATCTCCACAACCAACAATTACCAGAAAGCAGCTGCAGTGAGTAACAGAGGTCTGTTCCCCTGTCAGTCAGGAAGCAGCTGAGGCTTCAATTTCCTTCTTATGAATCTTTGGTTCAAGAGATTGAATCATGACCTTATCGCACTTGCCCATAATGCCAAAAACCATTTGCATGAGGAGTGGTTAGGAATGTCAGCCAGCTGTTTTCAGATCCAAAGACGAACAGACCCTTGTCAAACGCAATTTGCTGCTTCCTAGTAATTGCAGTTTGAGGGGCTTTCACTTTCCCTAAATATGAAATAGTCTTGAGTGTATAATTCTTCCTTATATATTGAAAAGCATCAAACAGGACTTTGGTCTTCATTTCTATGATTGTTTTTGTGTTTTATGAAAAATATAACATTTTCCCACAAAGATTTCTTTATGCAATGTATTTATTGTCTAGAGGCTCCAGAGGTACAGCGAGTTAAATAGCTGAACTGCTGAACTTGGTGACTAAAAGGTTTAAATCCAGGGAGCGGGGTAAGCTCCCACTGTTAGCCCTAGCTTCTGCCAATCTAGCAGTTTGAAAATATGCAAATGCAAGTAGATCAATAGGTACTGCTCTGGTGGGAAAGTAACACCATGCCATGCAGCCTGCCAACCACATGAGGCATCTACGGACAACGTTGTCTCTTTGCCTGAGAAATGGAGATGAGCATCACTCCCCTATTTATTGTCTGGAGATGATACTATCTCACTTGCAGGCAATAACATTTTCTTAGCAAACCGATGAGACATTATCATGCTATACTCATGTTCTTATGGAAAATAGGTTAATGAGGAACTTCTTAGGTGGTATACAGCCAGAATAAATGTACTTTGTACTTGTTTTCAAATAAAAATAATCAACTTCTATTTTGAACTATAGTCTAATGAACAGGAGACAGAGATTGTTGAAAGTGGATAGTCTGTGAAGGAGTTACGTGCTTTAAAGTGCATTTAAAATGAATAAATGCTATCTTTTGGTATGTCCTTTTTTTCAGAATTTGTTGTCTTTCGAAAACTTCCATATCAGTCCCTCTCTGTGGAGAGTTTCTCATACCTGAATGATGAATATGTGGTCATTGCCCAGCCTTTTATTGGAAAATGTATCTTTCTTCAATGGGATCACGTGGAAGGGACTTTTAGGAATTTTGACAATATTACAGGTATGAATAATTGAGCTATATGAAAGTTCTGCTACCTGATGTTTATACCAGTTAATAATATTATGTTTATTCCCTTTCTTGTGCAGGGATTTCAGTGGTTGTCTGCAAGCCTGTTATTGTTGATAATCGCCTATATATCATCGTCGCCCAACTCTTTGGTGGATCCCATATCTACAAAAGAGATATTCATGCAAATAAATTTATCAAAATTCAAGATATTGAGATTCTCAAAATCAGAAAGCCCAACGACATCGAAACATTCTCAATTGCAGATGACACGTACTTTGCTATAGCGGACAGTTCAAAAGCCGGCATCACCACTGTTTACAAATGGAATGGGAATGGGTTTTATTCAGACCAGTCTTTGCATGAGTGGTACAGAGATACAGACGTGGAATATTTTGAAATATCTGGGAAACCCCACTTGATCCTGTCAAGCAGTTCTCAGCACCCTGTGATATATCAGTGGAGCAAAGGGACAAGCAACTTCATTGATCCTGTTGATATTCCAGATATGGAAGATGTTTATGCTGTTAAGCACTTCAAAGTAAAGGAGGATATTTATGTTTGTTTAACAAGATTCATTGGAGATTCCAAGGTGATGAAATGGGGAGGATCCAAATTTCTGGATTTACAAAGGATGCCATCCAGGGGCTCAATGGTATTCCAACCTCTTCAGATAAAGAATTACCAATATGCCATTCTTGGAAGTGATTATTCTTTTACTCAAGTCTATTTTTGGGATGTAGGAAAAGCCAAGTTTGTGAAGTTTCAAGAATTAAATATACAAGCGCCGAGATCTTTCACGCATGTCTTTGTTGACAAAAAAGATTTTCTTTTTGCATCAAGCTTTAAAGGGAACACAATGATTTATAAACATATCATAGTTGACTTAAGTGCGTGACGTACACACAATCCACACATACACATAAAAACAAACACACACAGAATGTGGAGTCTGTTGTGAAACTTCCTCCACCAATCATGTGGACTTAATGAACTTGGTGCATGACAACGATTCTCTTTACTTCCAGTCTACGGAATGCCTTTAACAGTCGAGATTGCTAGAATTACGTATCTTCATCCATAAATGTCGAGTCTAGTGCTGTTGAAAATTGCATTTTTAAGCAAGACAGATTACATTGTTAATTATTATTTGAAACCACTATGTAAATATGCAGTGAAACTCCATCTGTTTTAGGTGGGGAGAGGGAAACGATAAGATGTAATTTTCCATAACATACCTATTTGAAAACTGCCAAATAAAAATGTTTACATTTTCTTTCATACTCCTAAAAGTATTATTTATTAGTCATAATTGTTGTCTATACTTTTGCTCTAATCTGACAGTTTCCTTGTAATGTGGAGGTCCAAGAGCAGAGTGCCATTGGCCAGCCCAATGGAGAAATAGCCCATTGGATAGACACCCACTCCTGGAAGGATACATATTTATTATTTATTTATTTACGGCATTTATATGCCGCCCTTCTCACCCAAAGGGGACTCAGAGTGGCTTACAAGATATATTTTCATACAATATATTATATTATTAGCATAGTACAATATCAGTATTATATATTACTATATTGCACTATACCATTATATTGTAATATTATTAGTAATATTACATGTAATGTAAATATATAATTATAATATTGTATTATTATTACTAGTATTATATTGTATTACATTATAATATTATAAATATTATATGTATATACAATATACTATATTATATTATTAGTAAAGAAAAGATGTAACTGCCTTCTGCTCCCCTCTGTCTTCACTCTGACCAGAGTAGCAGTTGGTATCAGAGTGGGGAGGGGCCTCCCAACTGATGATATAGGCAGAAGACAAGATGGAACTGTCTTCTGCTCCCCTCTATCTTCTAAATGTATTTATACCTTAAATAGGAAAAAGACAGATAAAAACCTAGAAGTAGGTGGCCTATGGTGACACTTGGCTTCACCTTTGGTGACTTCACTTCCTACCCTGTGAACCCAGTGACTTTTGAGCCACCTACAGACCCATGGCTATTGGAGAAGTGATGTCTTCCATGACTCACACCAGAAAAAGCTGGAGTTTGTTTGTGTGCAGCTTAGAACAATAGCATGCATATACATGATAGAGGGGCGAAAATGAACTTGAGGTATTTGACCTGATGAGAAAGCATCCCCAATGTTTTCTTTCTGAAATATCACCTTAGTCAAAAAGTCCCAAAAAACTTAAGTCAGCTTCTCCATGGGTCAATGTAAGTACTGCTGTAACTCTTGTCAAAGAAGAAACCATTCCCTTCTCTGTAGTGTAGAATCATGAAATCTTGGGACAACCTAAAAGAAGCGCTGGTCTCCTTTATGTCTGCTGCTTCAAGTGTTGTTGAATGTCTGGGTGGGAAAATTGAGGCGGCAGATCTTTGATGGTAGTCCTCAAAGGAGCAAGGGAACAATAGAGTGCTTCTTTTAAGTACTCCCAGAATGGACTAAGCGCTTGCTTTTCATCACTCTTCTCATCCCCTTTTCTGAGTAGAATGGCAAACGGCCTTTTTGAATTCCTGGAAAGAAAATTGGGCAACTATCCTCCAGAAGCAGTATTGGCACTTTCCCCTCATTGCAGAATGACCCATATCGTCATATCAAAATCATAATTTTGGTTCCAAAACTTGCATTTGACTTAAACATATGGTTGATTTATACATGAGTATATGCGGTAGTTATTTATCACTAGCCCTTGAAGCCTTACTTTCTTTCAAAAGCTTATAGAACATCCTTATCATTAAAATATATTGCAAAAAAGCTCTTTCAGTTCTTCTGCATAATGTCACCATTATGCATAATGACCACCAGGAACATCCACGTTTTTAAAATGCGAATGATCCTGGGATAAAGGGCTGTCTGGAACCACCCTCATACACCAGTTCCACTGTATTCAGTGAAGCACTCTTGCAGATAATTCAGCCTTAGAGTCTGTCTCATTGAACTGCTGGACATGGAACCAAGCGAATGTGGCCCAATCTAAGTTGGAAAGGTTAGTGGTTAATTTTATATATAAAAGGAACCAGGTATTGTTTGCTAGTTTTTCATATAAGTATCCTAGTAAAGAACTGATATATTATGTAAAATGTCAGATGGTGTCTGAACATGTACCTTTATCAGATAATGCTTCATCTCTTATCCAGGGTGATAAACAAGAGACTCACATATAGAAAATGATAGTTTTGTTATACTCCTTACAACTGTTTTTCAACAACACATACACAGTCTTTGTTGCCTTCTAAATTAAGGGCAGGGGCCTTTTGTCCTGCAGATATTTAAGACTACAATGGCAAAGGGAAACTGGTGTAAAAGGTTTAGTGAAAAGACTCCTCTAAATGATCAAAAATGGGAATGGTACTTTAGAATATATGAGAAATTATAAACATGAGTACATGCAGTAGTTACTTATTTATCACTAGCTCTTCTTGAAGCCATACTTTTTATCAAAAGCTTATAGAACATCCTTACCATAAAAATATGTTACCAGGGCCCTTGGTATTCATTGGGGTTTGGTTCCAGGAACCCGCATTATAAACCCCATATCCCAAAATGGGGAGCGGGGAGGCCAAGATCATTTATGGTCCCCCCTACCTACTCCCCCCCCCCCATTTCTAATGTAGTAGTAGTGCAACAGGTTAAGCTGCTAGCTGCAGAAAACTTGCTGACCGAAAGGTTGGCAGTTTGAAGCTGCAGGTGGGGGTGATCTCCTGCTGTTAGCCCTAGCTTATGCCAACCTAGAAGTCCTAAAACATGCAAATGTGAGTACATCAATAGGTACCGCCTCGGCAGGAAAGTAAAAGGCACCCATGCCACCATGCCGGCAACACGACTAGGAGGTGTCTAGAGACTCCTCGGCATGGAAATGGAACAAGAGCATCTCCCCATGGCCAGAGTTGAGCACCGCCTCCAGACGCCGGAGATGAAAGGGGAAGCCTTTGCCTTTCTTTGTGTATTTGTGTGTCACTGATGTTCACTGTATTGAATGTTTGCCTATATATGTGTATACTGTGATCTGCTCTGAGTCCCCTGAAGATAGAGCAGGATATAAATAAAGTGCATTTTTTGGGTTGTTGTAGGGTTTTCGGGCTGTATGGCCATGTTCTAGAAGCATTCTCTCCTGACATTTTGCCTGCATCTAATGCGTGCAGATCCCAGTAAGATGGCCTTTTGCAGCTCGCAGATGGTAATTGTTGTTGTTGTTTGAAACACACACAAGATGAGACCACAGCAGACAAAATCACTCTGCTGGCTGTTGTATTGGATCACACATCAACACTTCCCAAGTGTCTAGGATTGTTTGATGTATTGGCAAATAATGCGTGCAGATCCCAGTAAGGTGGCCTTCTGCAGCTGGCAGATGGTAATTTGTCAGCGCCAATTGTGTTTAAGTGCAGGCCAAGGTCTTTAGGCACTGCACCCAGTGTGCCGATCAGCACTGGGACCAGGTACAGTGCCTAAAGTGGTGATAACAACAACAACAACAAATTGTTGTTGTTGTTGTTGTTGTTGTTGTTATTATGTTATTAATTTTGGTTAGGCGAACCAGTCAATATTTTATAAAGTTATAAAGTTACTTTTTGCCATGCTTCCCTGCCCCTTATCTCAAGCCCCTAGGCTAGAGCCCTGTCAGCTCCCTCCTTGTTAGAGCTATGCCCCCCATGGATACCAAAATCTATAGATAACTTAAGTCCCATTCACATAGTAAAATGGTTTCCCTTATATAAAGTAGCAAAACCAGGCTTTGTGTTTTGCATTTTTAAAAATATTTTAAGCTATGGTTGTTTGAAACTGTGGATGTGGAGTACATGGATATGAAGGGAGGGGTATATTTGGAACATATTGAATTGTCATTCCCATTGTCTTGTTTACCTTTGGACAATTTTTTAATCATTAGGCTACAAACACAATTAAAACACCCCTTCCCCAATAGAAAGAGAGTAAAATGAATAAATACAGCATGCTGTGAAATGTGCCTGATCACAGGAGCTATTAAACCCAAAGGTATGGGAACCGCTATTGGGAATGCCTGAAGCATCCTAAATCAAAGCCTGATGGATCTGGAATCAAAGCCGAGATGCACAGTTCTGGGCAAGGGAAAAAAATCTGCTGCCTTTGCTAATAATTAATAGGAATGTAACATTAACCACTCACAGGCATTCATCGAATGTTTTGTCCCACAGGGTCTCACTGCGACAGTACTTTATAGAGAATTAGGCTTCAAAGACAGTCTGTGAGATTGCGGGCACAGTATTGATGCAAACCTATTCCCATGTGGCTATTTCCTGGAATAGCATAGTAGACATTATGGGGCCTCCTGGAACTTCCCTTCATGCCTCTGTTTAAGTCATGAGAACATTTAAAAGCAAACGCAGGAATACTCGGCACTAATAGAAAAACAGAAGCTCCTAATGGGGACTCCCTCCCTAAGGAAGTGCATGATGGTTTAAGTCTTCCAGTTTCAAAGCAGTGTTAAGAATTAGTAGCAATTGTGTTTTGAATACATCCAGAGACGTATCCGGAATGACGATGAAGCTAAATGAATTCCACATTCTATTTGGTCATTGTTTATGCTATTTTGTTGGAAAGTATCTAATGAAGAACAGTGATCTTATATAACACAATAGGGTCACGTTTTAACGCAAGATGCTGTTCTATGTTTTAATGTAAGATGTTGTCTTTTAAGCTGCATTTTCTGACTTTTAGCTAATGGAGGTGCCTTTCAACTAGGATATAATTTTAATAGGAAATTGATTAAATAAATTAGTTTGGGGACCCAGCGCTGCCTAGGTTATTTGAGAAAGGAATTGTGTATCAAGGTTGGTCTTTATCAGTTATTTATATGGCTCGCAGTGGTCTCAGGAAGTTAGTGAAGGTACTGCGAGTCCCATCATCTGTGGTCCATCCTCCTCCAAACTGCACCAGGATGGAGAGTGGGTCATGGGGGCTCTGTGTGCCAAGTTTGGTCATGATCAGTCATTGGATGAGGGTCGCAGTGGTTTCAGAAAGTGAGTTAAGGTACTGCAAGTCCCATCATCCATAGTCTGTTCTCCCCCAAACCTACCAGAATGTTGAGTTGGCCATGGGGGCTCTCTGTGCCAAGTTTGGTCTTTATTGGTATTTGGATGAGTGTCGCTGTGGTTTCAGGAAGTGAGTGAAGGTACTGCAAGTCCCATCATCCATCGTCCATCCTCCTCCAAACAGCACCGGGATGTAGAGTGTGTCATGGGGGCTCTGTGTGCCAAGTTAGTGA